TTGGTGCAATTTCCTACTAGGAATTTAATTCTCTGAAGGCATTTCCCTGCTAGATTTTAAACTAAGTTCAGTTGGTTTGGCTCTGGCTTAGCAACTCCTATTGCAAGACCTGCAGGACTTGAGAACTGACTTTTCATGGTTTTCCTTAAAATGTCTGTCGGAAAATCTTCATCCTGCTGATTACCAGAGCCTGGTTAGATATTCTAAAGGTTCTTTTTTTTCAGGTCTTTTTTGTCTGGCTTTTTTCCTCCCCACTCCTCCCCACTTGCTTTGCCAATAGTGGGGAGAGAAGAGCAGAGCATCTTGAAAAGTTCACATGTCTTTGAACACACTCCTCTTTTCAAGATGAACCTGTAAAGCTTCAGTACTTCAAGTTCGCTGATAAACCTCTTGTGTTCCTCCTGCTGTTGAATCACCTGGAGCTGTTTCATCCCTTCTTAGATCAGAGAGGGTTGGCTTTGCCTCCCTTTCGCTCCAGGTATGACTGTTGGCAACTGAATGTAGCTGTGATTTATGTTTTCCTACTTAGCTGAAGTGCTAATCCTGTGGTGCTTTATGACAAGAGGTTTGTTTTCTTCTTTTTCTCTCCTTTTGGTGTGCCATCAGTACATCATATCACTCTCGAAGTGGTGAGCATGGCTGGAAATAAAAATACCCAGTGTCAAAATGTGTGTTTTTCTCTTTCAATTGCTTTCTGAAGGGGGGAAAGAAAATTAAAAATTGACAAAATCAGGTTCAAAATGTTTTCATTTTGTGCCAAGTGATTTTCTTCTTCTGTCTTTCAGAGCTGACCTTTACAGTTGCAGGCAGAGGAGGCAGCAGCGCTTCGTGCTGTTATTTTTAGCTGGAGGAGAGAGAGAATAGCTGTAGAGTTAGTTAGGCAGTGCCACTGCCTGGGCTGCCACGGGCCTCACGGCACTTCAGCATCCACTGATAGAATCCAGGTGGAGAAAACATCTTGCCCCTGATACCTCTGCTGCTTGGTGCATCCTGTAGGAAAGAGAAATACTTCTTTTCTTCAGCCTTGCAGCCCAATTGAAAACAATAGTTGGGTGAAATCAATAGGCACTGTGGTTGTTCCCTCAGAATTAAAAAAAAAAAATAAATCTCCAAAACGTAAAATATTGCTTTTGAACGAAAAACGCCTCGAAATCATTCTAATCTTTTTCTTGTAGTGCTTTTAATCTCCAACAATACCCGTAAGTTTATTATTTGGAAAACAAAAGGACTAAAGATGAGTTTCTCATTGACCTCTAGGAAGGAATTCTTCCCTGTGAGGATGGTGAAGCCCTGGCACAGGTTGCCCAGAGAAGCTGTGGCTGCCCCATCCCTGGAAGTGTCCAAGGCTGGGTTGGATGGGGCTTGGAGCAGCCTGTTCTAGTGGAAGGTGTCCTTGCCCATGGCAGAGGGCTTGAACCTGGAACCCCTTCCAACCCCAACCATTCCATGAGTCTGTGGTTAAAACCAATTTTGGAAATCACTATAGAAAACAGTCTTTGTTTCTAAATATTAACGGTATTTTAATACAAAGCCTGGAGATTCCCAAGCCGGTGGTGACCGGGCCACGTCCCTCGTGCCCATCACACCACAGGTCTGGGTGCCTCGCCCAGCCAGGATTAGACTCTTCACTGTGCCAGTCGCTTCCAGGGCATTGTTTTATCTGGGCAGTGATCAGATATTCCTGATGAGGGGTTGTCTAATCCAGGATTAGACGTGCCTTTTAATCTCCGTTAATATGGAAGCCAGACTGGAGGGAGAGCTCTTCAGAACGGGTTATGTTCCTTGCATGGAGAGGCCTTTCAGTACTCAGCAGGACTTGGATACAAGTGATTCACAGCAACTTGTGGAGTTTCTTCTTATTCCTCTTCTTAGAGCAGTCTTTGCAGTTGTTTTCTATTTTCTTAGCCCAGTTGCCTAAATAATGAGAAAATTAATTTTCAGAATATCAAAAAGACACCATCTCTCAGCCTTGTTTATTTGCCCTAAGATCTGGGGGTGTTTTTTTATGCATTACAATCATATGCTCAGCACTGGGCTTTAAAACATGTGCTAAAACCTGAAACTCATTTATTATTATTCACCCAGTTTGTTTTTTCTGGTTCATTTTCTTTTTAATTGGATAAAGAGTTGAAATCTGTTAATTTTCATTATTATTTTAAATGCAGCTGTTACTTAATGGTGGAAGATAATTAAAGCTCTTTCAAAGGAAAAAGCTGCTCTTCCTTAAATTTTAAGCTTTTATATTTTTACATTTGGCCAGATTAGTAAGTAAAGTGTTAGACCCTCTGCTACAGAGGGAGCTTGGGCAGTAGGGCTGTGATGCTGGATGCTTTTTGGTTTTATCCCTGATGCAGTGGTAATAAGCAAATGCCTCTTTTAGGATCTTCTCTGTATAACTCATCTTCTTCTTTTTAATTTTTATTTTTCTTTTTTCTTATTTGATTGGGGTACTCATTGGGTACCTGAGTGTCTCCTTGGGGTATTGTGCTCTCAAGGTCCAAAAGAGAATGACTCCAATTCTGTACTGTTTCAAGTAGTAAGACAAATAACATCTACAGGTAAGTGGTATTGTTAAAATCGGTGTTTTTAATTTCAGTCATCAACTGTGTATCAAAAATAGCCATTCAAAGTTTTGTGAAATGCTGACATAGCCTGAAAATACTGGAAGCCTGTCTTGCTTTTGTTCTTTGTGAAATATTACCTGGCCAAGATTAGTACCTTTACCACAAAAACGTAAGTCTTTTAAAAACATGTTAAGATTGAAGGGTTTGACTTTCCAAAATAGGAAACGTCAGAATTCAGGTAGTATCTGTGAGCTTCATTCAGGTTTTTTACGTGTTTGCATTATGATAGTATTTTATCCTTTTAATTAAAAGCTAAATACTAAATTTTGCTTTTGTTGTGGTTTAGCAGAACTTGAGCTAACAAGGCAGCGCCAGTGGGATGGATTCCCTGCAGGAGCCTGCCCTGGGCGAGGATGGGTTTCACCAGTGATTACTGACAATAGAGGAGTGTTGAAATGCAGGAAGATGTTTTTTTCTTTCGAAGTTTGCGGGCAACTTGCTCATTCCTCTGTGAGCTGTGTATCCTCCACCAGCAATTTGTCCCAGACTCTTTGCCAAAACCATGTCAGCCTCACTCCGAGGTCCTCACGCTCTTTGCACAAGCTCTTTCTTGCCGTTTTCCTCTGTTATTTCTGGTCCCTCCCTCCAGCTCCTTTGCTTATGAACTCAGCATGTCTTCCTACTCCTGGGTTGTTTTTTTTTTTTCAAGGATCAGAGATCACAGAGATCCGACAGGTCCTTATCTGTAAGAATGTAAAAACCTACCTGCAGCGTCTGCCAGAGGCAGTGAAATTCTCCCTTTCCCTTCAACTATGGAGATAATCGTAGGGACAGCACAGAAGGTTAAACCTGAATTTTCTCTCTTGACTAATTTCCATACTTCTGTTGTTTAAAACAAAACAGAAAAACAAACCCACCAAAACCTCATAGCAACCCCAAAAAGCAACTTCCAGCAACTTTAACCTGCTTCTATCTCACTCGGTGCAAGTTTCTAGAGATCCCAGCAAGTCTCCCAGCTCAGAACAAGGGCTGGGCTTTCAGGGGGTCACAAAAAGGAACAACAAATTTGAATCTCACAGTAATCGAGCCATCAGCTGTCTTTGTTTTATGAACAGCAGCTGAGCTGGGAGGCATAATTAGGGTAATGGTTTCTGGCTCCAGCTGTGTCTCACTACAGAACAAAGAGAGCTCAGCAGAGATTTTGTAGTATAATACACTTTTCCCCCCTTCTACTTGGGAGAATTAACAAAGATTACTCGATGGACTGGGGCTGTGATTCAGTTAGAAGTGGACATGAGTATTTCTCCATGGAAAGTGTGTCTGAAGCCGATGGGATTTTGGGGAACTACCGTCAGCATTGCCATGAGGGAAAGCTGTGCTTGCCTCCAGCCCAAGGGTACTCAGGTGCTCAATTGTAGACAGGTTCTACCAAGTGGCTCGTGTGGTACTTCCAAAGGACTCTAAGTAGGTGTGGAAGTTTTTCCCTGGACCCTTTTTGTGTTGTTTTGAGTTCCGGATCCCCTGCGTGACTGCGGAGTTCCTCTGGGATAAGGGATGGGGTTTGCAAAGTGTGTTCTTTTTGGATGAAAGGAGCAATAGAAATGGAGGTTTTCTGATGTCCCACATGGAGAACTGCCGGTGGGATGTCTGCTTCTGGTGTGACCTACTGAGCTTGGAGAGGGATAAAAGTTAAAGCCTGACCTAACAGAGTTTGAGTTCTAGCTAACAAGGACCAGCTGGGTCACAGAAAAGGGGGTGGGGAGGGAAATATGGGGAAAATCAGCTTGGCCTCACCAAGGAGGTGACTGGGGGATGTGAGCATTGGGAGGGAACGTGCAGGTCCTTGGGCATGGAATCTGTAATGGGGAAGGTACCTGGGGCACTTCAAGTCATTAATCTGGGAAGAAGGGGAACTTTGTGGACTTTTTTTTCCCCATCCGCTTGCTGAGGCTTTGAATGCTACAAAAACCCCCAGGAAATCATGTAGACTCTCATACTGAGATATTTTGTAGTCGTCATAAAGCCTTTTGTCCAGGAGTCAGTGAAACTATAATGATTTTACTTTAATGCTCGACAGTCAGAGTAAATTTCTAGCTCAAATTATAGAAAGGAAGACCTAAAAAATCCTGACGTGCAGAACTGACAGATAGAAATATAGGCATATGTCAGTGCACAGTACTTGAAAATGTAAATTTATTAATTCGGCTGTGTGTGTTAAATTGTAAAATCATCTGTCTGTTAAAAATGACTGCGGGAGGATGCCGAGAATTGCGCTAACTTGACATTAACAAAGTCTCCCTGGCTGTGACACAGGCAGTAACAAGTAAGAAGCACAGATACAGCGATGCCGAGAAAGAAGATGACAGCTTCGTGTGTAAATTGATACAAAGATCTCTTCATTTCTATTTATTTATGTGCTCTGATGTTTCATTCCAGGTGATCAGCTTTTTCAGCTCCCGATTAGAGCAAGCTGGAGCTGAGCTGTCAGTGGAGCGAGTTCTGGAAATCATCAAGCAGGGAGCTGTTGCTTTGCCCAAAGACAGGCTAAGAGTAAGTGCTCAAGACCTCATCAATTAAAGTGTACTGTTCCAATCAATTACTCATATTTGTCCTTTATATCCGTAATGTCAAAGCATCATTTCTCCTATCAATAGTGACTGAAAAGTGATTACACTGTTGATTGCCGTATGTATATGTTTATATTTAAATTCCTAATTTCTGCTAAATGTTTGGGTGAGTTTTCATGATTAGTTATTAAACTGAAGCATGTGGAGGAATTAAAATTTGCTGAAGCTCAGGTGTTCTTCGTCGCATCTTGGAGGAGCAGCCTCACCTCTCCATCTGTTGTTTAGTTATGTTGTAACCAAATTTTGATAATTATTTTTTTTTCAGTTAATTTATTCTTCTTTCTCTGGTGTTCTGCACCTCCTTCTTGGTCTATATCAAATGCTAAAAAGATAAATTTCTTGGGCTTTAGTTAAGACTTACCCAACCTAGTGAAAATCAGTTCAGGACCTGTAAGACTGGTCAACATGATGATGAGCTTTCTGTATAATCCTGAGCAGCCCTCTCCATTCTCTTCTGAGAATCTCTCAGATCTCTTGAGGGATTTACCAACTTGACAGGTTTTGTGAAGCTAAAATCCATTAATGGCTGTGTGATGTTTGAATACTACAATAAGGAAATCTGTGTAAGTAGGTAAGTAAGTAAATGGGAGTTTTTTAAACACAATGAGTTTTGCTTCTCTGTTATGCCAAGTATATTTTAAATATGGTCTGCTCTCGGCAGAACTATTTTTGTTCCTGCCCTGTGATAAGAGAGTGAGAGTGTCTTCTCAGGACCCATTTCTTCCGTGGTAACTTTAGGAAAATATCATCTGATAAGGCACACTGCGTCCGCACGGCCATTGGCGACGGCTGGTAATTTATTTATACCCTGGTAATTTTAAAACACCCAGTGGGAATTGTCTAGCTGGCTGCATATACTAATGTCTTTCCTGCAGTTCCCTGTGTCCCTGAGATGGCACGTATTTAGTCACTCGGACTGAATTACTTTGGGAGAGGTTGGTCCGTGGTCCAAGTCCTGAGCCGCAGTACAGGAATAGCCTAAGTAACACCAGAGGAGTTGTTGTATCCAAACCCGGCCCTTCAGGTTGTGTCCTTGCTGTGCTGTGATGCTGTGAATACAGAGGAATGCTGGAACTTTGGCTTTGTCTATGACAACTTATACTTACGTGCAGATAATTAAAAGCCCTTACACTGAGGCTGCAGTGATTCCTTCTTGACATAGAGCCATCACCAAATAAATTCACTGCTTACAAAAAAATTAAGGTTTTGTCAGTTCCTTAGTGTGCCACATCGACTCACATGTCAGGCCACAATTTACAGAAATGCTGTTTCTGGAGTGAAATCCCATCAAGTTTAAATTTTCTGTGTTAATGATATACAGTATTCAAAATTACATATTGCCACTTAAAGCAACAAACCAACAGTTTGTGACATGCCAAGCTCTGAAAGTCCTCACCAAGCAGTCGAGTACTTCCAGTTTTAAGGATGCTTAGTGTGGCTTGGAGAAATTCCCTTTCCTCTGAAGGACTTGAGTTTGGGGACAGAGTTACCTAGTGAACACAGCCAGCCTGGCACGTAATTCTTCTGTACTGCCCACTTACACTGAAGGGGTTTTGTCTTTTTTTTTTAAAATAATTCTGCTGAGCACGAATGTGGCCAGAGCAAGTTAGTCCTCCGTGAAGAAAAGCTGATGACCTTGGTGTGTGTGTGTGTATGTATATATATGTAGTCATGCATATATTTTTGTACATGCAAATAACATCCTTCCTTTGCACAGGCAGTGATGATGAGCAGCATGTGTTTCCCTCCTGTAGAAATGACCTTGTGAGTCTGGGTACCCTCTGTCCTTGTACCTCTCTCATAGGAGAGTCTCTCAGTTCCTCTGGCCTTCCCACTTCAGTCTCTGAGGTTTTCAGGGGAAGCTATTCTAAAGCTTGACAAACTCATATTAAGATCAGACTGAAGATATAGTTACACAATAACTCTGGCAACTCTGAGGAATTTTCAGCAGCTAAATAAAGGAGAAAGCTTTAATCCACATGTCTTTAATGACACTCTCTGGGCAAGTCTGGATGGGTGGGAGCAGCCCTACCCACACTCTCTTTGATTACACCTTTCAGGGAGTTGCAGAGAGCAAGAAGGTCTCCCCCGAGCCTCTTTTTCTCCAGGATGAGCCCTCCCAGCTCCCTCGGCTGCTCCTGCTGCTCCAGACCCTTCCCCAGCTCCGTTCCCTTCCCTGCACACGCTCCAGCCCCTCAGTGTCCTTCTTGTGAGGGGCCCAGAACTGACTCCAGGATTCAAGGTGCAGATAGGATAGGGGTCACCTTGTGCCCAGCCACCTTGGACAATGTCTGGAGGAATTACGAATCTGTTGCATCTGTGTTGACACAACCAACATGTAATTATAGTGTGCAAAGCTGTGGAGTTCAACCCTGAGAATTTATGGATCAGCTTTGCAGTTAATTGCTAATTAATTTTCAAGCCATCTTTGCCTTTTGCCACAGCAACACTGAAGTGCTCTAAAGTACAAGAGACCCTGCAGAGGTATTATTCCTACCTCCTAGAAATAACCGTCTTCAGCTGAAGCACTCCGGGGGAGGCATTTGAAACATGGGTATGATTTGGAAAAAAAGAGGACTAAAGCACTCGGTTTCCTTGCAGCTCAGACAATGATGGTTTTTTTCTTATGTAAAGTACCTAATGTATGCACGGATGTTTTCAAGTGAATGTTTTCAAGTTGCTTATCTTGGCCTTTGTCGAGGAAGTGAGCATTCAAGAGGCGTTACATGCACTCGGGTCCCGAGTCTGTTGCTCAGCCCATAGTTCAAACATGAATCAACAGTCAACTAAAAATAACAGCACTTAGAGCCACGATCCTGATCTGCATAATGGGGCTTATCAGTTTTGTAGCACACCCTGGTGCTCCTGCTCCCTTTTCACTGTGGGAAGCAACATGGGGTGCAAAGTGAGCATGTGTGGTAGGAGGATAAATATATATATGTGTGTGTGTCTGTGTTAGGAAAGGTATCTTGAATTTTCTTAGCAAATAATTGTTGGGAAATGGGAAATCTAACTCAGATTTTCCTTCCAGTCCTGGAGCAGTCTGACTGGAGACAAATAATACAATTAACATTATTTTAAGCGTATGCTTTTAGCCGTGCGCTGTGGAAGGCAGAGAAGGTCCAAGCTGAGTAATTAGCCTTTTAGAAGACTTCTGCACGAACAGAGAGATAAAGGGCAGGTGCTGAAATCAAGAGCTGGTTATTTCTCCCTCAGTCTGTGGGAGGAGATAAATGAAGTTAATATGCCCGGGATGGAGGCAGAAGCTACGGCGTGGAGATAGAGCTGTCTCCTTCGCAGACGAGCAGCCCACAATCCAGGCTCCCTGGTATATTGCAGAAGCTTATTAAAGGCAATTTAGAGATCACAGTGATAGGTGAAAATTGGCCTCATTCGTTCCTTTTTTTTTTTTTTTTTTAAAGTTCTCAGGCTGCCTCTCTTCCCTTTTGGTGAACTATCTGTACTTTCTGGATTAGGAGCGTGAGAGAAGTGGGACCATGTCTGGGAGCTTGCGAGTTATCTCAGGGTTTCAAGGGGAGTTAGCCAGCAGATAATCACTCTTTTGCAATAAGTGGGAAAACTTGTTTCAAATGCCAGCTAGTGACTGGAAGCTGACATTTGGGTTCATGGAATGATCACACTTGGGAGGCCACGTTTAATGCTTTATGAAAGAAAAGTTCCCATTAGCTAAGCCACTTAAGGTAGAGATTTGATTTTCATGAGCATTTTCTGAGCTGCTTGTGTTTTTCTCTTGTGCCTTTTCTCTCCATGTCAATGAGTATTTTGTCATCAGTGCACACTCTGTCAGATGTTCTTCATGTGCTATGCAGACGTGCCATTATGCCATCAACTTGCACCTTTTTGGTATGGTACAAAATTCAATATTTATTAAAGTGCATTTGAGTTCAATGGGCATTAAAATTTCACATAATATGTAAAAGGAGCAGAGGTAAAAGCCTTCAGTCTCTTGACAGAACAAAATTCGCTTTAGGTGTTAAAAGCACTTCTCATATGTGTCCTCTTCTATTAACAGTGTACTTCCAACTCCATCAGCTTCCATCTCTTTCACTGGAGAAAGTTCCTAATCATTGAGGCAGCAGAGCACAGGGCAAGAGTGAGTTGTCATCAGAGTTATAGCAGATACTGCCTGGGACCTGGACCCGAGCACCTTTGTGTCCTGAGCACATCACCCTGGGGAAGCAGCACCAGCACCAAAAGTTCAGCTACCAAAAGTGTCATAAAAATAATGTGGCTGTTGACTGAGGTGGCAGTGAATTCAACAGGGGATTTCAAGCTCAGGTATTTTCATTTAGGTTGGAAAATGCCTCCCAGACCATCGAGTGCAATCATCCCACAGCACTGCCAAGGCCACCACTAACTCATGTCCCCAAGTGCCACATGCACACAGCTTTTCAATCCCTCCAAAGGTGCAGACTCCACCACTACCCTGGGCAGGACAGCCCTTTCCATGGAGAAATTTTCTCTATTATCCAATCTAAGCCTCCCCTACCACACATTGAGGCTGTTTCCCCTTGTCATGTCCCTTGTTCCCTGGGAGCAGATCCCGACCCCCACCTGGCTCCACCCTCCTGTCAGGGAATTGGAGAGAGGGAGAAGTTTCCCCCTGAGCCTCTTTTTCTCCAGTCTGAGCCCTCCCAGCTCACTCAGCCACTCCTCCTCAGACTTGTGCTCATGGAAAATCTAGAAAGAGGAGTAGCCGTAAAAGAAAGCACATGTGAAGTCCCCACTACTGAAGGAACCTAAGAAATTTCTTGGTTTGGGTGCTGAGCTGTCTCTAGAATGGTTTTCCTGCTTCTGCAGATGCTCCTCCCAGGGAGGAGAACCAACATCTGTTCAACAGTCAGTTGTGCCATCACACCATGAAGAGGGACAGGGCATGGGCAGCACTCACACAGCATCACA